TGGAAAATTTGACCAGCAATTTAAACTACATACAATATATAAAAAAGTCTCTTCCGTGAAAATTATAAGAAAAATTTAATAAACAAATTAAACATGGTTAGTTAAATTCAAATCATTTGACCATCATCTAAACATACACTTATCATGTATACATCTATACACTACAACTTGTAGTTTGTTCTAGAAATCATTCTATTATAATAAACCCGTAATAAATGACAGTATAAAAACATTTGGTATTAACTAGGGATGCATCCGATACCGATGCCGATACCGATATATCGGCGATACTTTGGGTTTGCCGATATATCGACATCGGCGATATTTTCATTGCCGATTCGCCGATACTTTTCAAATTTCACGCTTTAAAAAAATAATGTAAACGCGAATTTTGTATGATCTAGTTTGTTGCAAACGAGGCACGGACTATTGTTGCCCAAAAAATCCCCGCGTTTTATTCAGTTTGTTGTCTCTATCATTCGCTTGGGGACAAAGCATTATTATTTAAGTATATATTATGTATTTCATTTCGCTAAACACTATTTATTTATTAACACTTTGTTGCATTACAATATAAAAATTGAACATAATTAAATGAAAAGGAGGGCAAAAATACATATTACATATAAACTAAAAAATGCATGAAAAATAAAAACATGCACATGAGTCACGATAATTTACGATCAGTCTGACGTCAGTTAGTTAGTACAAAAAACTCTTGTTGGATTGATTAGTAGACCAAAATGTTTACTCGAGTCAACTATCTTTGCCAGCGCATATTTATTAGATATTATGGCTTGCGGGAGATCATTGAGACTTTATTGAACGTAAATTTGAAGATCATTTAGTTGGCTTTTAACTGCTATCGCGAGTAGTATTTTTTCGATATCAAATTTAATAAAATACTGAATTACAACAATATTATCATTAAGAAAATTGTAAATACTGTATTTGTGTAAATAAAATCTTACAGGGTTCTACAACTTTAACATTAAAATATTATTAACAGTTATTTTTTTTATTTTAATTTAATTATTACTCTTAATTCTTAATTTTAGTAACAAAACCATTCAAATTATTTAAAGTTACTATTTATTGTATATATTTATATTTTTTTAATAAAAATTATAAACATTAACTTAACTTGATATATTTTACGTTAATTTAATTTTAATTCAATAAGCGTTGGTATCGGTATCGGTATCGACGATATTCCTATAAGTGTATCGGCATTGGTATCGTATCGGCAAAAAAGCCTATCGATGCATCCCTAGTATTAACCCATGTGAAGCATTAGTAAAAAAAATCATAAAATTAATAAAAATTCCTCAGCAATCAGGCTCATTTTCGCCCGTTGGGCAATCATCGCTATGGGTCATAGGTTAAACGTAATGGAATCCCTGTGGTGAATTACGAGTCGGCACTGAACTTGACTGACACGCACCACTAATGACTTTGCGATTATGTCCTCACGAGATTCATTCAAGTCTTTTTATTCTCTTACTGGAATATTCGAAAAACAATTGAACTGATAAAAAATAACGTTGAGCACATGTTTTTACATATAAATATTTTTTTTAAGTTACTTTTATTCTTAACTTTTTTGATATTTTTTCTCCATAAAAACCTTTCTCAGAGTTTAAAGAAAAAGAAATACTCGAAGTTGTCCAGCTGTCCTGCAGAAAGATAGCCCAGACCTAAAATGGTCGTTGTGCCACTGGTAAACTCAGGAATATAGAACCATTCTAATGTTACAACCATTTTTGAAATGGCTGGTTAAGGTTCTTGTTAAAAAAAAATACCAACATTTTGTTTATAATTTTAGTATAGTTAAATATTATAAACCAACGTTCAGTTCTAAAGAGAAAATTATAGAACATAGTATTGATTAGATACCTCTAATTAGGTCATTTAAATGCAGTCACTTTTAATGAATAAGGCGTCAAGCCCGTCTGGTAATAATTGATATAAATGCTTATTTTTAACATTTTCGAAATCTTTGATGATTGGATTATTAAATTTAAAAGTTTTGAGTTAAGCTTTTAGTATATATTTATTTGGTGAAGAGACGCCAGCCTTGCGATTCTGTAACTCACTTTTCGAACTCTCACAGCGGTTTTCGCAGCGGCGGTCGCGTTCAAATCAGTCGTGAAGCAGTCATTTTACGATTTGGCATTCTGATAAATAAATAAATCATTTATTTGCCAAGATAGTGGTACAAAATAAAAATAATCGAACAACAAGAAAAGTCCGCACAATCAGCCATACATAAACAGGCATGCAAATGTCATAATAAGAAGTCAAGTCATTTATGAGTCATTGTTAAACTTATGTTCTAAATATTCGGTCTCGCTATACAAGCTTTAAAAACCTAATCACCTAAGGAGGGAGCTTGTAGTTTATTGTTTACGATATTTATCTTCACCGTAAGAGCAACAAAGTGTTACATGTGGACATTGAAAAATCCATTGGTGCTAAGATATTCTAACGAATTCAGGTCTGAGAATCGTATCCTTAAGCCATGACCGAAAAAACATGGGAATTTGTATAGAAACCAAAGTAGGTTTAACTAATATACTTTGGTTGTACATTTCCAATTATTAATAGTTACTTATAGAGAAGTGTTGGCCTCGTGGCTTTAGCGTGCGATTCTTATCCCTGAGGTAGCTTCGATTCCCGGCTGCGCAAGGGACTTTCTTTCTATGTGCGCATTTAACATTCGCTCGAACGGTGAAGGAAAACATCGTGAGGAAACCGGCTTGCCTTAGACCCAAAAAGTCAACAACGTGTGTCAGGCACAGAAGGCTGATCACCTACTTACCTATTAGATTGACAAATGATCATGAAACAGATAAAGAAAGATCCAGGCGTAAAAAGGTTGTAGCGTCACTGATTTATTTATTTTAATAGTCTCTTTTATGATTATAATTCAGAATATCATAAAGTATTAACCCCGGAACATTAAGTGACGTCTTCATATAAAAATCCTAAATAATTTGACGCCAGCAAATATTTGACATTACTCAAAGGAGTGAGACTAATATAAATTCTTTCATTAACGGCATTCTAGAGTCCTGCTGATAGGACGGAACAAATTAGTTCTGACGTCATTTGTCATGGCACGCGTTCCTTTATAGGTCGACTTTGAATAAATTATTCCTGGACATTAGTGGAGTAATTTGAATATAAATTATTATTACCTTAATTTGTTTATTGAACTTTTTATGGAGGATAATTTATAAGGTACGGGATGGGAAGATAATTTCCTTGTTTTTTTTCTATTTTTGAATAATTAAGTTATGCGTGGCCGCTGTATCTTAATCTCTTCCAGGCAATCCTAATTAAAAGAAACAGCAAAAAGATGTGATAAAATTCAGGAAAGAACATTATAATACAACAATAATACTTAGAATAAAAGAAAAAGCAAATGTACTTAGAAACATGCTTATTAAAAATTAATATATTTAGAGTTCTTCATAGATTCTGTTTTGAAGGCATTTTTGCCTCGCACCACCATGTGGAACCAGCCTGTCGAGGCATTTACTACACGACTTAGAGTCTCTCAAAACAGTACTAATTCTGGCATTGAGCCCATTGATTGCCCAAGGACACTCCATGGGCATGTGACCAGTCAACATCTGTTGGGCCTCCTATCGCCTATAAAAATGAATTACCTAGTATTTTTGTCTATGGAAAAGTCATTGATTTTCAATCTCAGGGAGACAACGTGACAGGACTCCCGGTTGTAAAAAAACGCATTCATTTATTGGGTTCAAACTCACGACCGTAAAGTTGTGTTACCTAATATACAAAGTTATAATTATTTGTGAAATTTGTGTTGAATAACGTAGTAATATTTTGTACAAAAGAATCCAAAATGTACCTGTTAACATTAATCAGATGTTTTAACAAATATATAGTAATTAAAATGGAAATAAAGGAATTATCGAAGTATCACTGATATACAAGTTACTCTCACAAATCTATAAAAAGGACATAAAAGTCTACAAAAAGGCCGAAGATTTTATTTCTTGTCGTTGATTTAATTAAAAAGCTTTACCAATGCCGCCCGTGGTTTTGTTTCATCTAGAATCTTAAGGACTTGTTTGATAAGCAATTCATATTTTGTTGTGTAATAGTATGTTATTAGTAGTATGTATTTTTTTTCTCATTATATGGCGAATAAGTATATGTATTTTTCTTACAAACAATAACAATTCTGTACATTCCCTTGTTTAAGTATATTTTAAATACGCTGTGAAATATAAAGACGTGTATTATATACATCATCATATCATATATTTGTATAATTTTTACTCATTTGTGTTTTTTGAAGTCATATTTAGTTCATTTAGTAGTCTCGTTTCTGAATAACACTCTTAAATACATTTGAGATTTATGTACAGTTTTTGAACTAAACTTACGTCCTTAAAAACTGTTTGTAGAATTGACAATTCTTACTTTATATGAAGAAGATGGAAAAATTATTTAGCTTCATTAGATAAAGTCTCAATTGACTCACGATTAGTCTAATTCGAGAGAAGTGCTTTAGCGGAAATTAAAACATGTCTTAGAGAATCGTTGCACATTCTCGATGGAAGTTGGTCGAATGAATACATGCTGAGTTTCGTCATCGGACTTCGAGGCAGAATACGAAATTCCACCCGTATCACCTCGACGTCCGTCGTTTGACGTTTTTAAGGCAGTTTTTGCCGCGCACCACCACTATGTGGAACCAGCTGCCCACTGAAGTATTTCCAAACCAATTCGACTTGGGGTCCTTCATGTGAAGAGCGTACCAAGTCTTAAAAGCCGGCGACGCACTCGCGAGCCCTCTGGCATTGAGTGTCCATGGGCGGCACTTATCATCAGATGAGCCCCCTGCCCGTTTGCCCCCTGTTTTATAAAACAAAAATATTTATACCAACACACTACCTTTAGTTCAATATATCATGTAAGTCTGTCAGATGGTTTTAGCTAAAACTTAAGACAACTTTTAGTATTCATACAAGATATGAGTCTAAGGGTCTGTTTCACAATGTACGGATAAGTTCCGAATTAGCTTTTTATTACTTATTGGTAGGATAAACACTATTGTTGCGTTTCACGACTATAAGATAGAGCTATTCGTCATATAAAGTCCATCATAAGTTATGAGTCCGATGAAGTGTCAAATAGCCCAATTTATCTTCCAAATAATTTATGTGTTGCATAGCTATTTGGTACTTTATACATACATTGTGAAACAGACCCTAACAATTTTATGCGACGATTTGCACCAAGTCAGCAATGAATATTTCAATAGGCGTTTGTTTTTCAACATAAATTTTTCATTATTGCGATTTTGATACTTTTATCATACTGAACTACTTTGTAAAAAACCGCTATTTATTTAAATATAACGCTAAATTAGTTTAATCTGTGGTTTAGCAGCTACACATTTTGCTTAGCTTGATTCGGCAAATCTATAATTACTTATAGATTTGTGAATAAAATAATTTTTCATATTCTAACGTAACAAATTAATATATGAAACACATGTCGATTTGTCTCTGACTATTAGAGTACTTTCAGACCACCACCCTCTAACAAAAAAACATAATATATATATCTCATCTCAATTTAAGAACTCCTAAATCACCTGGAGAAGAGTGGAAAACTATAGAGACCTTTGCAAGATCACAGATCACGGAGTTATTCTGAAAAGGTGGGAGCTTAAAGGCTATATTGTTTATTAGAATGCCAAATCATAAAATGGCTGCTTCACGACTGATTTGAGAGCGCCCGCCGAAGCGAAAACCGCTGTGTGAGTTCGACAAGTGAGTTACAGAATCGCAGGGCTGTAGTGAAAATATATTCAAGACCACAGATCACAGAGTTTCGGAATGTAAAGGCTATATTGTTAATATAATACTTTAACCATAACATAAACAGAATTATATGATAAAATAAATTAAAGTGGATGTAAAAATTAATTATGGCATTTCACACATATTCACGAGAAATGAAATTAATCAGTAATTACTTTTGTTTCAGATCTCGTAACTTATTAAATACAACACTAGCACCACCTGTTATAACTGTGAGAGTGACGCGGCAAGTGTCGACAGGGCAGGACTGCGCAGGAGTTGATAGACGCTACCATGAGTGTAATACTCACGTAAGTATACAAGTTTAGTGATATCAGAGTCAGGACTTGTTGAGTTTGACTTCCGTATATGCCTGATGTAATTTTTTTAATTTTTTTCTAATTTCTCTCCCATAAAATTCAAGAAATATAAAAAAAATTCCTCGAGTTTCTTGCGCTTAGCAACATAATATAATGCTTTGCCCGCGTGGGTTTTGTGTATTTTGTGATTTGTTACCAACCACCAATAATAATCGTAATATTTTAGTGAATTTACGAAAACACCTTCCTCAGGAATCATAGTACGTAATCTATTAGTAAACCGTACAAAAATGCGTTCGGTAGAGTTTATCGCGTTCCTAGTGTTACCTGACGCGACCGCCCATGAACACTTCTGCCAGAAGGCTCGCAAGCGCCAACCCTTTTCCCCTTTTTGTTCTTCCTTTAAGCAAAATGTTACAATTCTTTAGGCATGTCGAGATGGAAGTCGAGATCCTCGCGCTGAACAATGTTCCACATACGACAGAAGACCATTTAGAGGGAGATATTATACCTGGGTGCCTTATATTGATGGTAAGTTTAAATATATTCATTATTGATAACTTGGAACTCACACAATTGTAGAGCGTATTTTAATTTGACTTTTCTTAAGTGGTTAAGAAGGCAAACGGGCAGGAGGGTCATCTTATGTTAGGTATTACCAGAAGGCTCGTAAGTGCGTTGTCGGTGTTTTAAGAATTGGTACGCTCTTTTCTTGAAGGACCCTAAGTCGAATTGGGTAGGAAATAATTCATTGGGCAGCTGGTACCGCATAGTGGTGGCGCGCGGTAAATACTGCCTGAAGAAACGCTCAGTTGTGCAACGACGGACTTCGTCAACAGCCAATCAAATCGTTGCACGTCTCTCAAAAGAACGCTCTGATTGGCCCATACGTTGTTCCTACATCCTTTTTTCCTTCATTTTTCTATTTACCATTCGCATTTATATTTGGTAAAGATTAGACCTTTCTCTATTAGGCATTTTTTTCTTATAACAGCATTCTAGACACAGGGCTTGGACTGAATATTATTATTTAGTACCTGTGTTTAGTAAAATTCTCACGGATTAAGAGATAAACGACATTTTCGAAAACAAAATTACAACTTTGCCACTCTTTTTGCAGTCTCCAAACGAAGGTATTTTCATTCTAATACCTTGCATATGATATTTTCACCGATATATAGTAGTATTGTCTTTATAGGATTGAAGAAAGCAATATTGCAATATAAAACGATTTAATGTAGTTTTTTCACCGGTATATAGAAACCGAGATTTCTGAAAGAGAAAAGATTATGCCATGAGACCATGAGACCAGTGGCGTAAACTAAAATACCACCTGGGGCACCCTAGCACGTAAGCCATTTGTGGCAAAACCTCCATCTTCTTCGATACCAACTCGTGGAAATAATTCTGATGGGGCCTCTATCATGTATAAAATCGTCCTACTCAGTTTAATTTTAATAACCGACTTCGAGATTTTCAGCGTACAAAATTTACAATTATTTACACGTAAATTTATAAATGTCAACTAAAGTGTCTATAACGTGTCCCAATTCCTAAAATATGAGACATGTCGTCTATACTGGCGAGATGGAAATAGTCTGTAGTCCCCACAGATTCTAGCCCAATGCGTATTGTTGAGCCACTTACATTCATCCATAGAACATAATATCTCTTGCAGTAGGGCCTTATAAAATAATATCTCTGGGTCTGGGGCCCGTGGCATTTTGCCAGCCCTGCCACCCTATTGTTACGCCACTGCATGAGACGTAGAGAACTTAACAGCCTAACTACGATCCGATAGAAACTGCGAGTGTTATGAATATGACTTACTGTGTTAATGGTTAACTCCGGTTAGTTATAAATTAAAGGTTAATTTATCTTCTATGTGAAATTAATGCAACGTCTAAGTTATCAGTTATAGATTAGATGCAAAGTAATTGATAGTTGGTGTAATGTGATTTCAATTACATCTTTATCGTTAACATTTGAATTAGTTTGCAGACTGAATTAAAGATATAATCATCACCTTTAAGAATTTGTTAAGAATGTTTTGTCGTGTATTTGTAACGTCGCAAAAGAGTGATGACAACATTGATATACAACAAATGCACAATCAACGTCTAAAAAACGTCCTCAAAAATGAGCGCAACATTCTAAATTGTGCGCTCATTTCAAATAGTCTCGCGTCATAAGTGGAGTCGATGTTTTTATTTGTGTTTTTTTTTATAAATAAATTTATGTACTCTTAACTTTTTGTGTGTAGTTTTTGAAAATATATTTACGCTATATAAAGTGGGTCAGGAGGTAGCCAATTTAACAATTTTTTTTTAATTTAAAGAGAAAAACTTTTAACCGGATAATGTTATGTATATTATAAATTTACACTTTAATCAACACCTTTTGTCTCAGTCACCTGACCACTCACGCTGTAAAGCACCCGAAAAGTCGGATAAATTTAAAATTATGTTAAATAGTTGTAAATAAAAAAGTCATGTTCGACTCCACTCAATACCCTTGTCCTACCGACCACGGTCGGTCGTAAAATTTTATTGCTTTAAGTACGTATACACTGCGTTGTAATAACAACTTTAAGCAATTCGCGTAAGGTTGATTTTGCAATAATATATGCTTGTAACATATACTGTTATGGACAGAAATAGTGTTTCGGGACACTTTCGAGCGTTACTTTTATTCGAGACTGTGCATCTTGGGTTTTTTGTATATCAATGGATGACAAAGAACTTTGATGATTTTAGTGTGGGCCTAGTGGCTTCATCGTGCGACTCTCATACCTGACGTCGTAGGTTCGATCCCCAGCTGTGCACCAATGGAATGGCAGAAATAATACTGATACTGACATGGCATCACTGTGTAATCGAATGCTTACTGTTATACAAAAGAAAATTAAAATATACAAGAAAAGGGCACATTATCCCTATGGGGATAGTGACGTAAAAACAACTTCGTGACAAATACACTATTTTTCTTCCTATAGAACTGGGGACAAATGGGCACGAGGCTCACCTGACGTGATACGCCCATGGACACTCTCAATAACAGAGGACTCGTGAGTGCGTTGCCGGCCTTTTAAGAATTGGTACGCCCTTTTCTTGAAGGAACCTAAGTCGAATTGGTTCTGAAATACATGTCACCTATGGACACTCTCAATGCCAGAGGGGTCGCGAGTGTATTGCCTGCCTTTTTAATATTGGTACCACCCTAAGTCGAATTGGTTCGGAAATACTTCAGTGGGCAGCTAGTTCCACATAGTGGTGGTAGTATTAGTATATATATGCTAATATACGATTAACGGACCAAATATATGTTTACAGGTGATGCGCCCTGTATGCTGAACTGCCGTCCTTTGGGTCACCATTTCTATGCATCATTATCTCTCGTGGCTGACGGGACTCCTTGCACATTGGAGGGGTATAGAGCGATATGCGTACAGGGAACATGTAAAGTAAGTGCCAAGTTATATTTTAGACATGACGTTAGTATGTAATTAAAAAAAAACAAATATAATACAATTTGTGAGAGACCACAGATCTACGATCCACAGTTGCTACGGCCTTGACATACCTTTCTCTCTTCTTCCATGACATTCACCAAACATGCTCGTCCGTAGTGGAGACTTTTGTTTTAAACGAAAGTTTTTTGTTAGTGGATATTTATAGAAGTGAACGAAGTTTTCTGTACACCTTTTATCTTCTTCTTCTGCCAACTAGTGGCCTGTGAAATGTGTATTTAATTTTATATGTAATAAATGTCTGGAGTATCAGTATAGTATATGTAGTGTATGAGCAAGCTGCACTAGATAACGAAATATATGAGAGGGTGTGATGTAACAACCTAACAACCCTACGGATCCCTAAGCCCTACAGACGTACCCTAACACATAAATAGTGAATATATAATAAGTACAGGATGTCTACACCAAGAGACCTAAGCTAATAGGTGGAGCCCTACGGGTAGTGTCAAAGGTTCAAGGTGGTTCAATTATCACAAAGCTATCACGAATTATCATTATCACGAAGTAGTCTTCGCCACTTTGAGAGGAAGCGAGAAATGAATAAGACAATATTCAAATCTGATTTATTGTTATAAAACAATATCTTAAATACTACTTACACCTACTCACACATACATAATATTATTTATATAATCTCATTCGGTAATATTCTAATTATGAAATGAAATACAAACTTTTATTGGCATATTTTATATACATACTTCTTTAAGAAAATTATAAAATTAAATTAATTTTCTCCTAACAAAACAATGCTTTAAAATAATTTTTGAAGTTATACTTCTTTAGGCGCGTTATGAAAAATTTATGAGAGTGAAATTTTACGATGCGCGCGCACCTGTGACACAAAATTGGGAGTGTGATTATAGCGTGCGCGAGCGAGATAGGAATAAGACAATCTACAAGTAAAAAGAAATAGAATATTCGTGAAGTTCGTATGCCAAGAATTTTGAATGACCATAATGACATTTGTCATTTACCTTTTAAACAAATAAAGGAGTTTTGATTAATTTTTCAAAGAAATTTATTAATTTTATATTGTGCAATACTGCCAAAGCTACAACATACTTCTTAGTGTTTGGTAGAGATGTTCTAAATATATAATTATATATACTTTTAACTAAATAGAATTTATGTAAGAGAATAATAATAAATAATTATTTATTTAATTTTTCAAATGTAAACTGAACTTAATTGACTATAATGACTCCTTTTCCAGTCTTTGATTATTTAATTGTAATTAATTATTTGCATGCAATCAAAAACTATTTTTAATAATGCCAAAGAAGTATAACTTCTTACGCGCGTACATAAGCACACGCACCCTTTTTTTAATTTTTCAAATGTAAACTGAACTTAATTGACTATAATGACTCCTTTTCCAGTCTTTGATTATTTAATTGTAATTAATTATTTGCATGCAATCAAAAACTATTTTTAATAATGCCAAAGAAGTATAACTTCTTACGCGCGTACATAAGTACACGCACCCTTTTTTTTTAATTATTAAAGTACAATGTGTCCCGACCAAGGAGGATTCAATTCAATTTAAATACACATAATCTGTGGTGACCGCGCTGCGCGCGCAACGCTCTGGTTCCGACCCAATAGACCAATAACAGACTTTTTCCATTGGCGCTATTTAGTACATACGAATTAAGGTAATATTTTGTTGGATAAAACTTTAGTAGCAAAAATGTCAAGCAACACCGACGATTCCGATGAAAATTTAAGTAGGGGCCCCAACCCCCCGCGGTTTTTTAAAGGGGGGGGGGGGGGGGGGCCCGCGGGCCCCCCCCCGGGGGGGGGGGAAAAAAAACAAAAACCAAATTTCCCCCCCCCCGGGGGGGGGGGGGGGGGGGGGGGGGGGGGGGGCCCCCCCCCCCCCCCAAGGGGCACCCCCCAAAAAACAAAAAAAAAACAAAAAAAAAAAAAAACCCCCCCCCCCCCCGCCCGCCCCCCCCCCCCCCCCAAAATTTAAGTCGACGAATAGTCTTTTGCCAGAAAAGTCAAGAAAAGCGTACGACAAATGTTACCAAGACATGACTTGGATAATGAACAAAAAGGCTAACTCATTTTCCGAAAACGTTTTAATAGCCTACTTTCAAGAGTTATCGGATCTAAATATTTATGATTAAAAGTACACTGAGTTTAACCAAATCAGGTCATAATACATTTAATTTTTTTTAGTATATAATTAGCCAACGAAATTGATATCACCTAATATTCAAAACTTGTAACATTTCTGATACGTAAATCACAAGGATCTAAGGGAAGAAAGCCAAGACATTTTCAGCTAAACACTTAAATAAATTTTTAAATGAAGAGATTAAATAAAGGAGTGTATGCAACTGCATATAATTAGGTATTAAAACACTCGTGTAATCTTATTTTGAAAATCGCCTGCAGCTCGTTTTTAAAAACTACACTCATGTTTTAATACCCTTTATTATATGACAGTTGCATAATCTACTATTTTAAATTAAGAACAACCACGTGAGCCGCAGTTGGTCAATGATCAAATGTAATCTGAACAATCTTAATGCTTCTAGATTTTACTGTATATGTTTAGTATTAATAATTTGACAGTAAAACTTCGTAGTAATAATTGTTAGATACGCTTATTATATCTGGACTTCATAAGAAATTGACGTGACGTTGGAGCCTGTTAACATGTTCCTAGAATATTTAAATAAGACACAAGGTAACTAATAAATTAGTTAAGGCATGTCTAGAGACAGGGTTAAATACTGTCAACTGTGGATTCATTGCATTGCCGACATAGAATATTCTTAAAATAAATTATATATTTCACATGAATTGTTTAATTATTTCCAATTTGTTACGTTGATTGTTATTTTATGAAAAGAAAGCGGAGCATCTTATTTTTGTATTTATTTCCCACATAATTATGATGTCTTTAATAGATAGAACTACACCTGGATAATTCTAAATTTAAAAATACAATTAATAAAAAAAACTATGTAGCAAGCAATTCTCGTGAACTTGAATTCTTGATCATGATCAGCTATACAGCCCCTTGTGGCCCTTAACCTACTCAAGTACACTTCGCCATCGCAATCTACCCAGTTCTTCTTGCGTTCAACTTACCGTCTTATTGATCTACTTACGTCCCTATTAGTTCGAGATCCTTGGCAACTTCAGTCCACCAACGCAGCCTCGGTCTACCGGGTTTTCTCTTGCCACTAGGTTATGAATTCAGTAAAGACCTTGGGGTTCTGTCGTCCGCCATTCGGTGCACATGTCCCAACGACTTGACTCTATTGCATTTTATGAATTGGACGATGCTGGCGTCGTCAAGGATGGTATATCGTCGCAAACAAACTTGTGAATTCGGCTATAGTACAAAAATATAGGTCTACCTCCATATAACCTATATATATAATTAATCTTGGGCCCTCGTCGGGTATGCGTTGGGCGTGGTTTGAATCTCAGAAAAAACTAAAAGGGTTTTACTGTTTCGTATTAAATCATAAAACTGACTATGGAGATATTATGGTTATTGGGATGTATTTAGTAAGTATAGAATATATTTAATACATACATACAATCACGCCTTTACACCGAAAGGTTAGGCAGAGACAACAGATCTGCACTTGCACATTTAATGTGGAAGAATTCAAGTGTTCGAAATAATTACTGTCACAATAATTCTAGGCATTAAATCATTTAATTTCTAAGCCAAAGTAAGCGTGTGTCTGTAGTTAAATGATTTATATGATTTCTTCGTCATAAAACAGATTACGTAAACGGTATTAATATTTGAATGCTTTTAAGATTTCATTTACTGAATTTCGCACATCACATAATATTAATTTTTAATACTCAACTTTAAAATCTGTTAAAAAAAAAATGTGTGCGTGTACTAGGTGTACACACGTAAGAAGTGAAACTTCTTTATGACCTTATTAGAAACTATTTCTTTAAACACAGTAAATTTTGATACACTGCCTAGCATACAATTTACAAATTAATTGCTGCAAATTGCGATTAGCAAATTTCAAGTCGATCTAATCCGTTGTCAAACTTCAAAGTCAAAAACATACTATATGTCATATTTTAACGCCGATAATGAAGTTTGACTTCAAAAAGCAACATGGCGCGTAACGGAAAAATGTGACGCGTAACGCAAAAATTTTTACACTAAATTTTTTTCCAACCCCGATAAAGATGTTTCACTTCAAAAAGACATCATTTTTAGATCAACATTTTACTAAGACTTTAGATATGGAAATTTTAATCTCTATTGAGAGATATTTGGTAATAGCGACAACGTTACCGACGTTTTTGTATCCATACATCCATAGCACGCGTTAAAAACCTCGACATAGAAGCCGAAATCACAATTGCTATTTAGTTAAAGTACCGGCCCGTTCACAAATAATCAAGAAATATGATTGACGTTTGCGGCACGCTTGCGGTGCCAGCATGACTCGTTTATACATATTTATACCGCCAAGTAATTGTGCATATAAAAATGATTAGGGCTTTTCCAAAGCTTAGGGTTGAGGATCACATGCATAGCCACATATCTGGAGTATGATGTCAAAGCAATTATATTACATTAAACTAGTAACCCTAATATAGGGTTTATAAATCAGGGTTAGTTGCATCGTTTGATCGACTCTCAGATTTATTACTCAATTAATACGAATTTATGTACGCTCTTAATACGTTTATTGAATGCTGTAAAGTGTACCTTGAACGAATTCGTCTGTTCTTTGAGCACAAAACGATAATTTGATTTAATAGTTTAATATAACTTATGGTAGTTACACGAAGTTTCCATTTCAAAATATACGCTACGCATTTTGCTTCCAAAATCAGCGTTCTGTCTGTGGCCATCCCAAAACCATGAACCAAAACGGTTAGGTTAGTGACAGAATGTGGAATACTCTCCGCTATACCTGATTCTTAATTGTTCGTGGCGGATGACAGAACCCCAAGGTTCTTAC